AATGGCTGGCTTTAAACACCTCGCTTTCCTGGCTAGTTCCTGCTTGATTTTTCGTGAGATCAGCGTGTATCTTTTTAGCTTTCTCGCAAATAATTGCTTCCGATACGCTGCCTCCAGCACTGTTTTTCAGTTATCCAAAGCAAAAGCAATTTCTCGACATGATCTAATGTCTTCGATCTCTGTTTAGAAATTGATTTAACCCCTTTCGCAACGTTAGCACATTTAATAATGTCTTTATTTTTCGCGATTGTCCATATCGTCGTTCTCGGAATACGGTAGGCAACAGTTAAAATCTCGAACAAGCGTGCCACCTTCGTATTTTTCAACAATCTCTTTTATCAGTTCCATTGTAATTCTAGTAATTTTTTTTTAGTTTTCTGTCGCTTTTCATTTGCCTTTTTGCGATTCGTGATTAATAAAAATAATAAAATTTTATTTACGAATTAAAATCAGAAGAAATTTAACAAAGTTATAAACCGTTGCACCGCGAACGTCTAGTCTGGTCTAGTTACTCTAGTACATCGATAGTGCTACTTGTTCATTGATGGCGCGTATCATTGAATTATGTCGTATACCGAGCAAAATTTGTTTCGTCCAAACAGGACGTATACCGAGATATCACTGTATTACGTAAGATGAGATCTATTACCTCCCTACCCGAGTAAGAAATCCTTGACCCCCATCTACCCCAAAATACCTTAAATAATTTATGGACGGCCCCTAACAGCTGGGAAAGTAAAGATAAGGAAAAAGACCTAATGATCCAGTAGGAAACAATTATGAACTGAAGGAGTACGGGAGGTCAGTTTTAGTGCATTGTTGTACGAGAGCATAGGGCTATCGAGGGCGTTACTGTTAACTTACGCGACTTCTTTGTAAAGTTGAGACAAGTGGAAATAGCTTCCCTCCTCGAAAACTTACCATGTGTTATCGATAAATAAGAATAGATAGGATGCACATCCTAATTGAGAAAACGGCTAATACTGATGTTAGACACCCACTGCCCTTTATAGGACCCCTGGGAGGAAACGGATCTATCCGAGTGTAAAGCTATACTCACAAGTCAGTTGTAATTTTTTTTTGTCAGTAAACATGTTAGTAAATTTAAACTTGTCTACAGTATACCGTTTCATTCAAATAATAGCCGCGATTACTATTTTACACCGCATATTTTTTCTACGGTTATTACAGTATTTCCTTTGAGTATTCGTTTAATGTACAGGTACTGTACGTTAAAGTACATAAATATATATATTTATAAAAGTTTTGATTTTTAAAACAAATTATACTTGAAATGATGACTGGCATCTTTCTTTATATGCATTATTTTCTTACTAATGACTTAGAAAGTAACAAAAACATACCCTGAATATTGTATATTTTTACACAATATATATTTCATTTTCTATTAAACTTTGTTAAATAAATAAATATGGTATATCTAGCTACAATATTTATTAAACTTACATTGTTTCACTAAGTTTTCAGAAATCTTCGAATTAATCACTTTGTGGAATTAATTAATGTCGAAAAGTTAGTACAGTAATATATTGCTTTAGGAATATTTCTTTTGCATAATTTATTATAATTATTAATTGTTTAATTAAATTATAAGATATTTAAAACTACATAATTATAAAAGTAATAACAATGATTTAAATCAATAAAAATGATTGCAATCGCGAAAGGAACAGGAAATGGAAATTAGAATTGCGCGTGACTACTTCACTTTTCGTATCGTTCCCACGATTTCGCTATAAACAAGTGCGTTTAATTTGCAAATTTTCAATTGCTTTTAATGTTGCACTTCAGTCAATTTTATATAATAAATTTTTCTTACTCATATCTATAGTTTTACTGATTATAAAAAGATAATCGGGTTAAAAAAGTGACAATCAATACGTGTAATGCAAAAACGGATTCTTTCTTTTTTGTATTTCACTTATATCTAATTTGAAAAATGAAGTAGTATTAAATGACAGTTATTTAAGAATTCTACATTACTTAAATCGATGAACATGTTGCAATGCAAAACATCGGCAGTTTATCGAGCAAACAATTGTTCGGTTCTCATCGCATTGTATTCGTTTATATTATAAACTTGTATTGCGTAACATCTGGACATATTCTTTCAAACGAATAGAGAAAGTTACGAGGTGACCCGGAACTCGTACAGTAAACAATCGTCAATCACCCGGTAACTTCCTCTTCTCCCTTTACAGTTTAATTAGTTGTAACAATTCGACCTTGATCTTTTAATCACTATTTTTTATTACATATAATTTAAATTTTGTTAAATAAAATACATTAACGTTAATTTAATAATTTAAAATCCTGTGAAATTTCTAATTGTAACGAATGAACAGACTTCAGCATTTTAACATTCGTGTGTGAAAGTTCTTAGACTTGAAATTTGTACCGCACTTACAAAATGTGTCAAAGAATTGAATGAAAATTAGTTTTGTTAATGTGCACCTCAAGATTCCTTCATCTTTAATATAAATATTTAAAAAAGGGATTGTTAAATTTCAAAGTAACTTCAAAAATGCTTACTTCAAACCTGTAACTGGAAGATATTTAGTATGACATCTGTGAAAAGTAACAATACACACATATATATACAGTATGTTATTACTCGGACAAACTGAAATCCTCTTTCAATTTATGTATATACAGTATATAAATTAAAAGTCAAACCTATCTATAACGGAACCTGTCCAACGCGGAAACGGAAACGGTACAAGCCTACCATGTATAAATCATAAAAAAAAACTCAAAAAATACAATACACATACCCAATACAGAACAGTAAAATATGACTATTGTATTACAGTAATTATATCGGGATTTAAACGGAAAGTTTTTGCGCATTTTTTTTAACATCTGTTTTTACTTAACATAAAAATGTGATGTGATTATAAATTGTGAAATTTAACACATTATTCCCGATGTGTGAGAGATTGTATTCTTTGTTTTAAAGCTTATTTTAAAACATTTTACAACATTTCTTTTGAATAAAATCAAGACGAAATGTCTTCATATATAATGCACATCGCGCATATTATGCATGCTTTTTAAGTTTCGTAAAGGATATTACGCTATACAAAACAATAAAAAATGCTCGTATACGGGGAAGATTCTTCTGAATAATGTCAAATGTGGTTCTGAACCTTTTTCGTTCGGGAAGTTTTGAACTAAAGGATACAAAACGTATGGGCTCACAAAAGGTGTTGAAGAGAAATTGCGGGAAGAAATTGGAAGGAAGGAAGGTAGCTGTAAGGATATTTTATTTTTAAACTCATTTCTATCTTAGAGAACTTTTTTACGGATGAATTGAATGAAAAAATTAAAGTTAAAATAAAAATATTTGTTATTAACCGAAACTTTGTTCTAGCGGGTGGTGATTATTCTGTCGGGTACAACTGTATTCGATTAATTCGATTTTGATACACGCGATAACATCGAGAAATTTATTAATCGCATTAATCAAGAGATACCTATAGTAATTAAAATTTATCAAGTTTTTAAAAATAATTTTAAAGCGAATATATAGATAGTACCTGTTAAATGAAAAACGTAATTTACACGCGATTTGCATAATTTCTAACGCATCGTGTCATGCAACAACACATTCGCCTTATCACATTATTCAATGGAATATGCGAATAAAGTTAATCACATTATATTCGCATATACCGTAAACAGTTATGTAATATCTGAATAGATTATTTCTACGAAATAAAGAAGTGATCCTATATCCATACCAGACGTGTCAAATAAACAATTAGCAACTTTATCTTCCCTGGACACTTACTTTACTGTTCAAAGTCGATGTTTGGTGTCGTAAATCAGAGGGAATGGTTAAAAAAATTACTTTAATTAGGTTTATTTGCTAGCAATTGTCCCAAAAAAGGCTAATAAAGTTCGACTTTCCCCGGCTCTGTTTGTATATAACAGAGGGAAAGAAAGCATGGCAATAGATAATATAATAGATAATGGATGTGGGTGGGGGGCACGATTTTGGTCACCTATTTCAAACTTAATAACTCCTGTGTTTTTCGTCGAAAATTTCTGAAATTTTGCAGGGAGTTTCTGTATTAGGGGATTAATGCTATTAAATTTTGGTAATTAAAGATCGAGGGGTGAGGAGATAGAGGTTGTCGTGTGTCGTATCTCGAGTAGGGTCGAACCTAATAAATTTTACTCTTTACTAGCATTTATAATTTTTTTTTTTTTATAAAACTCATCCTTCTCCTCAGAATTAAACTTTATCTTTATTAATTATATAAAGTTTTTTTAAATAAAATGTCATAAAAAGATGGCAGTTTTAATTAAATATTTTTAAAAACTTTACATCACAAAACAGCGTAAGTTAAAAAAAAAGAATTATTAATTACGAGTCGATGGCAGAATTTATTTTTGTTTTTCTTTTGAAATGTTGTCAACAGAGCAAAGGACAACATTCCAGAATGTAAAAACACATGGCACTTAAAATTTATTGTGTAGTGCACGTGTTCGTGTTGTATTGCAAATGACACGAATGCCCTCTCCCGTAACGGCTTGAGAAAATAAACACAAGTGAAAGGTGAAGATTTCATACTAAAACACCATCTACAACAATGACGAAAGACAATACTCTCGTATCATTTATGTTAAATTTAATTACGGTTTAGCTCTTTTTTAGTAAAGTTTAAAAACTATTTTTGGCATTTAAGTCTAAAATAAGTGAAATAAAGCGATTTGACAAATGGCAGGAAGTTATAAAATTTTAAAAAGGGGTTTAACTTGTCGCCAATAGATACAGTATAACCATTTTCTTCGAAAAATATTTTAATTACGACTCTAATTCATCTGTAAGAGTATGGTTACAATTCGAAGGTAATTTAGCGTAATATGCAAATTTTGTCTATAGTCACATTTAAAATTATAATAAACTATTATATAACTAAACATAATATATATTTTATATCAATTAGAATATTATCTGTTTAAACATTTACCTGTCAATTTCCAGAGGAGCTAGATGAACCATAAGATGACGGTAACTGTACTGTTGAGTTGTTCTGAGGGACTGTTGCTGCACGAATCTCGTTCGAAAAGTGCTTCCAACCCCTAAGTAGTGTAATGGTAGGTGTCGGACGTTTCCACTTATGGCTAACCGTGGTCAGTCAAAGGTGACGACGCCTCTAACGAAGAAGAGCATGAAACAATGGATGTGAAGTCGGTTTAAAAATTTAAGGAAATGAGTGAGATAAGTGTTAAGATGATGTTAATGGAAGTATTTTATCTGTTGAAAGAACGAGACTCGTTAACAAACCACTTTGACATATTTGCATGCCACAAATGTCCCATTTGCTAAACTTTGGGATATTTTTTAACAATAAAAAATCAGGGAAAAAATAGAAATAAGATGAATTTCAATATAATCATTAATAGTATCGTAGATAAAATTTAAATCAAATACTGTAATTTAAATTTAATTTAATTTAAATTACTTGAATGTTATGTGTACTCTGTCTCAGTATAGTCAGATTTAGGGAAAACTAATGCTAAGTACTTTTAAGTACAATTGAAGAGAGTTTGTATTTCAAGAAAAGTTTTAATTAAACAATTCTATGTGTTATAAGTAATAGATATGTATATATATCCATGGTGCGGCTTACTTTATATTACTTTTAAAAAATCAATTTTTCAAAAATATTTCCTCAAAATTGATGAAAAAACTTTATGGGTTAATTGTACATAAATAATTGTACATAAATGGGAGGAGCTAAAGGGAAAGAAAACAAAAAGAGGGGGAAACGGTCTAAAAATGCCTTAGGGGACATAACATCAACACTGGGCAGATGTCGATCTAAAACTTAAAACAGGTTAGTTAACCATTGTATAACTATTGTAGTAATTTACCGATGTAATAATTAAATTTACCAAATTTATAGAAATGTAAAACTCCTGAAGAGGGGTGCAAATTACAAGAAAATATTGCACTCGAAATGTATAGAAAATAAGTAAATAAAGAATACAAAGATAAGCTTTTGTCTCTGATTAAATGCGGTCCAGGCAAAAAAAACGGGGGTTATTTATGTACAATTAACCCATAAAGTTTTTTCATTAAATTCTATGTGTATTGAGTAATTTTTTGGGTCAACGTTTGACCCAAAAAATACGAATATTCGTAAATAAAATTTACGAATATTCCATAAACATGAGATGCATTAAACTGTTTACGACTCACCTGAGCTTTTATTTTATAATCTAAATATACGAAAAATATTTCAATTTAATTTATATTTCGAATATAAAATGACATAATCATTAGCAGAAAATATTTCCGAAGGAAAAAATAATAATAATAATAATCTGCGTGTAGCCTAAACAGTATTAGGATTCATACTTATAAGGGTAAACAAAATAAATTTAATTAAAATCAGCTAGTTTTATTAAACCGAAAATTAATTTCTAAAATAGCGTACTCATGGAAAGTAAAGCTTTAACAATTTATCGGGAAAAATTCTACAATCTTCCTTCTCTGAATTAGGCTATATAAAATGGCCACAAATAGCATGTTTATTTTAATTGTTTAACTGATTTATATGTTATATTATAGTTACTAATTTCTAGATTTGATCAAATAAGTATATTGTAGGGTAGCCTACTCTTACCTTGGATCCTAAGAGAAAAGTTTGCTCTGGCTCCTTATATAACAGAGGGGTATCCAGACTGGTGTGCAGTAATTGGTAGTCTATATAAAAATGTTCATCTTATGTCTAGATAACTAAAGACGTTCTTCGTTGACATTAATACGAAGAACAAAAATGCTGCAAACATTCCAATTGACACTAAAGCTTGTTTAAATAATTTTTCATTACTTAAACATAATATGATATCTTTGAATCTGATATAGGTAGAGCTTTCGTTTATTTATACAGTAGAAGCAAAATCATCTTATAGTTTATATAAAATCTCCAGAGTCAAGATCACAAAAATAGATATTACTATTGTATCAAATTTGATAAATAATTTCATAAATTCTAGAATTTAATTACGATTAACGGGTATTATAAATAAAGAATTTTAAATTATATTTATTAAATTACACAAAGTTGATAGCAATAAATGAAGAGAAATTTAATTTATCTTATTTCTTTGGGGGGGCTACTTTTTACCTGAAGCATTTTTTTCACTTTGCCAGAAAAATTCTTTCGTTTTGTAAGTGATTCATCTAAAAAAATATTTATAAAACTGTTTTATGCCCGAAGTTCACATAAAATTTGAAAGAAATATTCTTTATTTTTATTGTATTGAAAATTTATTTTGCTTATATCCATGGGACAAAACGTTAAAAAGCGTAATACGATTAGTGACTAGTATGATTTCTTATTTCCCAGTGTTTTGCTTGTCCCGGGATATAATTAATTATTTTTAAGATATAAAATAAATCTTAAAATCGAATGATATAATTATTTTTCATTTTTAAGTAACTTAGTACGTCTTGCAATCTCCAAAATAATATTAATAATGCTGTGTAAAATATGTATAAAAAATTACTTTTGAGTTACGTAGAAATTTTTACAAATAGAAAAAAAAATGAACTTAGATCAAACTTCTAAGTTAGAAGGTAACTTTTGTTATTTAAATAAAACACAATACAAAATATTATTGTAAATTTTTATAATAAGATTTTAAAAAGCAAAGATGGTCGATACTCCGATCACTCAATTTGGTTCTTATTTTAGTAATGAAAAGTCCTGCTACCGAGAATGCCCTTTTCGATTCAATTGATGTGAGTGGAATCGACTTTAATACGTTTAAGAGAAGACAGATATTGTGTTTCTTCACTTATAGCCTGGAAGATTTCGAGTTCGTTTTCGAGATTGTAGTACTTCTTTTGCTCTCTAGTATTCTTGATTTTTCTACCTCGACTGCTTTAATAGAAACATCAAGCTTATAGCCTGATAATTCTGCAATTCGTTTGGCTTTAATAATCAGATTTATGAAGAAAAGCTTCATACTTGCATACTTCGTACTCGTTTGTATCCTTGCTCAATTTGCACAACCTGGCATAATGCAATTTTCGAAGCTACTGGGCATGGTTAAAAATTAAGACAGCGTCAGTACAATTATTAGAGATATTACAGGTTCTGACAAGTAAAGAATTTTCAGAGTCCTGTCACAAATAGGCTACATATTGATTATTGACAATCTATGACATGTCATAATAAGCAAAAATTTAAAAAACCAATAAGCAGGCTTAAAATTAATAAATACCAATGTATTCTGACAGTTTATGGATTAATAATTATACTTTCTATTTGCAAAATTTCCTCAACTTTAACACAAAGTAAGAAAAAAGTAAACTTTTAAAAAACTTGCGGGATTTTCCGGAATGAGAAGAATTTTCCGGGTTAAAAACAGTCTGGATCTTGGATTTCCCGGGATCCCATTGTAGAAACCCTAATCACTAAGGATGTGTGAGATAAGCAGTGGGTCAGGGGTTAATCTGGTACTGACCACTTAATCTGCACAGGCTGGTGAAGCCCGATCTCGGAGTCGTTCGAATGGCTAGGAGGGCAAAACGAGTGGGGAGTGCGTAGGTAAGTCGACAGGTTTCCTCGGATAGACAAGAGACAGGGTTTAACAAATAACAAAATAAAGGTTTATTCTATAACTAAAGTTAATTTATAGGAGTATACATAAGGAAGTTACAGACTTAATGCTTAAATGTGGATAACACAAATCTGTCTATAATGGCGATCTACCTAGTCACTATACCGCGGGAGAGAGTTTACAAAGGCTCTAGAGTGAGAGAGTTATAGTGGCGGTCAGGTATACATTATGTTGGATGACGGTATGCGACGATCATTCTGGACTATGGAAGCTGGCTGGCTGTCACAGGCTTATGTCTTCTACCGGCTTCTCCTCGGACAGGACTAGGACGGGAGACACTGTATTCAGACCTTCCAGATGATCGCGCGGAGGGACGATCGTTTTTATACGATCGTCGTTGGCACAGAGCCAACAGGTCGTTCACTCGTTATGACGACTAATTAGCACGTGCACGTAGATTAATTAACAAACGGACGATGACTTGTCTTCCTTCCTACCTTGACATCCTCTCTATTTCCGTTATAACTTGCGATAAATTATTTTTTCATCCTCTAATGTAAAAATATGTTAAACTCAAAAATTTACGCCCTGTAAACCCTCGGGCTCACACATGCAATGAGGTACGGGCAGCATCGGGTGACACCGTCAGAGGGGATGTCACCAAAATGACTCTCTATAAAGTTTTTGTACAGTGTTCAGGTAGAAATTTGTTATTACTTTTACTTTCCGGCTGTGATGTATACATAACAAGAGAAAATATGGTTATCGTGTCAAATTTGACTTTCCGAGTTTTTGCAAATCTCCACGTTTTGAGACCTCCTAAACCCAGAAAAGTAAGAAAAAAAAAATTCTGTTTCCGTGGATATATGTATGTATTCAGAGCCGGTCCTGGTAGGTGCTGCATGCACACAGGCGGCCAAATCCCGACAGTACCGATAGTGGTCAATGTCAAATGCCTCTTTTGTCTTATCACTAGTATACCTCAAAGGACGCGACAGGGTTATAAATTTTAAATTTTTCTCACCATAGCTATAAGAATCTAAATATGTTAAAACTTAATAGATTGTCTGTCATTTGTTTTCTAACTAATACGTTGTAGGGCCAGGTGTCCACGGGAATTTCCAAACTTTACACCTTTTCAGTCCTTCTCATTGAACTGGAAAAATTCCTGTCTTTATTACATCTAATAATACGAAGAAATCAGTCCCCACTGTACTCTGCTAAAGATAGGTTCAGTTATGTCCCTAATTCAGTGTTGCCGGATCTGAAGGTTAAAAAGTAGCGTGGTTGTGCTCCAAAAGTAGCGGATTTGAACTGTTTGTAGCCGAAACAATAAAAATGAATTATTTTGCAACTATGCACTTTTACTAATGAAATAAGTTTGTAATATATGTATATACATACACAGGGTGTATCAGAATGACGTTTTAAAAATTTGGGGATTGTAGAGGATGAAATTTTGAACGTTTTGATATAAGGAACCTACAGCCGGAAATGAGATACGTATAAAGTTTCTACTGCACTTTGCACGTTCTATGAGGTCGGTATGCTGAATGAAACAGCAGAATACAGTATTTATGACAAGTTTTATTGACAAAACAGTAGAGTACAATCAAACTGTACATCGAATCAGTGGCTGCACTACTTTAGAGTAAATGTTCAGTGTGACGACCACCAACTTCGTTACATAATGTGCAACGACGAACCATGTTTTGTCCGACTCTCCGTAAGATGCCACGCTCCCCTCTGATGGTATTAAATGCTGTAAAGATGCGCTCCGTAAGCTTATGAACTGTTCCTACAGGTGTTGCGTACACAAGGGACTCACGTTGACTAGCTGTGTGTTTACATCACAACGCCAGTGGATGCAAGGGGTGACCTGAAGAACGACAAGCACTGAGTACACAACGTCCTGTACACAGGCTCAGTTAGACCACTGTAGTTGTGTGTTTACAGTCTTTCATCCGCAGCAATAACATGACGTCAATGGATGGAAGGGTAGCTACCAAAGTGAAGGGCGGTCAAGCACTTCCTACCGCTGTAGACACTTTAGTTCAAATTTCCGATTATAGGTTCCTTATACCAAAACGTTCAAAATTTCATCCTTTACAATCCCCCAAATTTTTAAAACGTCATTCTGATACACCCTGTATATGGACATTCGGTGTATCTGCATCAATTTTCTCTAAATCAAAGCGAGTCATTCGCAGGCGAAGCGATTCATTTTTTGAACTTAGAGACTTAGCGACTGCGGCTTTTCTTTTCAGTTTTAAGGCCATCCTTTTCCATTGTATCAAGAACTGTTGTATCAAAATTTAATAACTTTTGGATCACTTATTGGGAGAGAAAATTGGCAATTCCAACAGGATAATGCTTGTAGTAGACAATCCACAATTTCACAAGCAATGTCGCCTCCGTGCTTGTGAAGTTGTGGATTGTCTACTGGAGCGAACGACTGATGGAAAACGAAAGCAAAGTATCTTAATCTTTGTTAAACGTTGCAACTTTATTTATATACTTAAGTGTAATGAAATTAAATAAAACTTTATTACTTTTGTATAATACAATAAGCGTTTTGCGATTTTATATATGAAAATTAAAAAAGTAGCGTATTTTTAAGATTTGTAGCCTGAAGATAATTATCACTAGCCCAAAAAGTAGCGTGTCGCCCAATTTGAAATTTTTGTAGCGAGGGCACTTAAAAAGTAGCCCAATCCGCTACTTGTAGCCCAATCTGGCATCATTGCCCTAATTCCCCAATCTCTTAGCCTAATTATTTAAATACTTCTTAAGTAGAAATACATTGAAACCGGTTACTTTGTACTCGAATATTTGTAGTCTTGGGAAAGAAGTGGAAACAAACTTTTAACATAAATCTTAAATTTAACCAAAGAAATCGTGTTGGATTAGAACTTTTGCTTGATAAAGAATAAACAACAGGTACTGTTTTCATTTTGTGCTTATTTATTTTAATTTAGCGTAAATCAGTGGTTCTCAACCTTTTTTGTTGATATACCCCATTAGCCCATTAGTTGTTTCTCAAGTACCCCTTATATTTTTGTATGTAAATTTTATAATTACTGCGTTTAATGTATACAGTCCTTATAACTGAGCGCCATAAAAAACTAACTCTAACTAAAAGTGAATTACTTATTTTGCGTAAATAATAATAAATCTAATCAAATACATACATTTATTTATTATTATTTGATAAGTATATTATATGAAATCACAGAAGTCATTCTAATCTAAATATATAAAATTGCTTGTCCTGATGACTGACTGAATGAATCACTCACTCACTAATTCATCATCGCCCAGAGCAGACCGCTTAACCTAAAGAGATGAAATTTGGTAGACAGTTAGGGTACGTCATGGAAACGCACACTAAGAAGGGATTTTTCGAAATTCCCCCGCGGGGGAGAGATAGAGCATTAAGGCTTAACCGGAAGAATGGCTTCTACTGTACTATTTTAGATGCAATTTTTTGTTTTTATCTGCGTTTTAGTAGGGTACGCCATGGCAATGCACAATAAGAAGAGATTTTTCGAAATTCTCCCACGGGCGGGAGAGGGAGATGATTTAGTTTTCATCGAGTACTTAGGTGTATTAAATTAATAATATTTCAGATATTGTTATAAATATTTTTATATATTTCGATTTTTCATCCAAATGTTCGAACCGTTTTAAATTCGAATTTGTTATTGCGTATTGGTTCGATTATAGAACGATTGTAAACGTCCCAAAAAATTGATCAAATTGAATATAGTTCGTTTGATTCTCGGCAATTCTCATCATTGTCAGCGGTAGGTGTTATATAACAATTACTATAGTTGTTAAAATACTGAGTATAAATGGGGTTGCTTGCAAAGGTTTCGCGGGCGAAGTCGCGGGTAACAGCTAGTACATGCATGAATTACATTTCCTAAAAATAAATAATTATAATTAACAATAAAGAAAATTTTTTATTCTACAATAATTTCTAACAAATTGTAATGGGATATTTGTTGCGATAAACCTTCAGAAATTTTTTCAAAATTTGGTTCCCACGTTGTTAAATATAGATTATAATTGTGTACTGACCTTGAAAGTATTAGCTGCGAATTTATAACGTGCAGAACAATACATGAATCTTTCAATTTTTGTAACTAAATGTGACATCTAAATTTGCTATAAATATCAAGTAATGAGCGCATGCAGTGAGACGCATTGCATGGTGGGGGTACAATCCAGGCCTCATTATTCCTAATACCAGTAGTCCAGTAAAAACACAAAAAGACCCAATCTTATCGAGCAATAATTATAGAATAGAAAAAAATTTTTCTATTCTATAATTATTATTTACCTATTATAATTTAATTACCTATTATACCTAATTATAATTTACGTAAAAATTTAGTTAGTCTAAAAATGTAGTTAGTCTTGTAAAATGACGGTTTAACCGACTCGGTTAAACAGTAATTTTACTAGACTACATGTTCACTCAGCACTAATGGCACAAATAGACAGGCAAATCAAGTGTTATCCACTTGATTTGCCTGTCTATAAACAAGTTGTTTAGACTGTTAAAAGGGAAATCGGTGTTCACACAGGGATATTTTAAAGCAAATTTTTGTTATTTCTTGTTTCTTGTGTTAATAATTTACAGCAAATTGATTAACATACGCCATTTTATAATGAAAGTTAGATGTACCCCTTCAATTTATGCTCGTACCCCCAGGGGTACATGTACCCCCGGTTGAGAACCACTAGCGTAAATGAACCGTCGGTACCCACGTTTTAGTAAGGTTTGGATAGTTATAGGAATTTTATGAGTTGTCCATAAATGACGTCCACACTGGAAGGGGAGGGAGAGGTTATGACAAATCGGACAAGGACAAGGGATGTCGGCAGGGCCGCCGTAAGCGGGCGTGCAAGGCGTGCAAGGCGTGCACCGCACGCGGGCGGCACGTCCAGGGGGCGGCAAAGAGCCTTTCTGGCAAGCTCAGCATAGGTAATCGTAGTTAAACAGGGGGCGGCATAATCGGTATTGCACACGGGCGTTCAAACAGCTAGCGGCGCCCCTGGATGTCGGACAAGGGGTTGAATTTCAATGGACGTCCAAAGAGGGGAGGGCATTACGGAAACTTGGACAATGGGGGAAAAAGTAAATATGGTAATTATACAGTTTAAGGAAATATGAGATTTTTTTAATTATTTTTTTAAAAGGGACGTATATTTAATAGACATTCAGAAAACGCATAACATTTTTCCGATCCACATATAAAATGCTATAAACAAAAAATTATAGGACTACTTACCAATTATGCCCCGCTCAAAACGCCATTGCTTAAGTTTGTTTTCGTCGCGGGGCGGCACATTAGACGGCGGACGCGTACGAAACGTGTCACGTGACATTTCTCGATGCCCTCTGTTCACGCGATTACCCTTTCCTCTCTGCGTCTGACATGCTCCTGATAACTTTTTCTTCTCGCAGAAGAATTCGCTGACGTTTGGAGACATCGTTAATAGAAATATTAAAACATCATTCCATTTTAAATATGGATTAAAATCAACATATAACAACGTATGATGATTCGATAAATAACTAATAATTCTAATCTGCTTTTAAATGGCCTAATCATGTCTTACGCAAAATTTAGTTACAGTATATTTATTTACATCAAGACAATAGACATCTTATATTGCATTTGACTGATATTTATCATCATAATATATATCATGATAGAATAATTGTCGTTAGCGAGCGGTTTTACCTTTGTTGTTTCGTATAGTTATTCGTTATCTATTATTATTAATATCAGGAACACATCAGAGATGCGAGCGAGAGAATAGTCATGTGACCAGAGGGCATTAAGAAATGTCACGTGACACGCTTTGTACGCGTCCGCTGTCCAATGTGCTGCCCCGCGACGAAAACAAGTTTAAACAATGGCGTCTCGAACCGAGCACAATCAGTAAGTAGTCCTATGATATTTTGTTTATAGCACTTTTATATACGGATCAACCGACAAAATGTTATGCGTTTTCTGAATGTCTATTAAATATACGTTCTTTAAAAAAAATAATTTAAAAAACTCTTATTCCCTTAAACTGTATAATTACAATAAATATTTCACGAAGAATACGAAAGTAATTTATGGATAACCCCTTACATATTCGAAAAAAATATATAGTTTATGTAAGCAAAGACTTATTACTATTATAGATACATTCAGATATGTCAGATAGGAGAACAAAACGTCAGTCTGGTGCGTTTTATCGCAAGTGGAAGAATGAACATTATAAGGAAAACAGAAAACTACAAAGATCCATGCTGAAATTCGTAAAGTTGGACGATGCTGACCCGACAGCATCAACAGCCACTTCGGAATTCATTTCAGATAATAATGACGGAATGGAAGGTGAAAAATAATATATCGAACCAAAATTTGACTAAAGAATAATACAAAAAATTGATTATTCAAATAAATAAACTATTCTAACGCGAACTACGAAATATTTCGAGAGAGCTTACACTGAAATATTCGATATTCCTGTCCTTGCAATAATGGACGTGATGAGAGAACCTTTTCTCGGAAACGAAGAGTTTTCAATACCATCCCATAAATATCATTATGGGATGGGGCACCAAAGCAAAGGCGGGAATCAAAAGGAACTTAATGAATTGGCTACACAGTCTGTGGCTATTGACATATGGATAAGGACAAAAAGCGCGGGAAAGAGGTGATCTTTACCTTATATACAGTAGGTGAAACGAATCGTGGACAATGGGGATTATCCACGATTCGTTTCACACACGGTTCCTAAGGGAACTACGAAGTGTTATTGATACTTTCACTTCTGAAGGAACAAAGTCATTTCTCTAATGATTCACGGGAAGTATGAAGATGGCAAGAATGATAAAATTTCTATCTTTTTATAGCTTTAAAAATATTCTGAAGTATTGACTAAAACTCTCTTTTAAAAGTATAAAAATGTTCCCTATCAAACTTCCGGTTCTCACAATTTAGAAAATAATAATTGTGTTGAATTGACGACCGAATGTGATGTAGATACAGGGGATCCTTTAAACTAGTACCAATTTTTAATAATCAGTTATTAGAACGCATAGTTCAGAAGAGACCGTAAAGGTCCCATCTGAACTGAGTTTAACCGTTGAGATCGCATTGCTGCGATCTCAGAAGAAACAAAATTCAAGAAAACTCGTTATGATAAAATTCAATTTACATTTTATCATTTTTATTGAAACTTATTAATCATTTTCATCGGTAAAACATTTCAAAGTGTCGTTTCAATTCTATTTATTTATTGGAGTGTTTGTATTGGATACACGATATTTTTTGTTTTTTCGTCTGGTGCGTACACGAATAAATCGGAAGGTTTTCCGACGCGTGAGCCGGCCACATCCATGCGAGAAGCACGGATTCTCCAAATTTAGCCCATACACTCGCAGCGATTGTCAGAAGTGCGATATTCCCCATTTTTATATATATATTTTAATCCTTTATAATTTTAATTATTTAATTGCTCCTTCCTCTCTTCCTTGGCATGTTGTGAAATTTCTGATAGTTGGATAATAAACCGTTTTATTGTAATTTGTCTTTTTAAATTATTTTGAGTCGATATTAAAATTTGGAAAAGGGGGATTCCTAGATCGGTAAAATAGGCGAATTTCCTCCTACAACTTCGGTTGTTGTTCGGGATACAGTTAAGGTTTTAACAAAGTTCGAGCGAATACATAATTAGCACAAAAAAAAAGTTGAAATAAAGTGATTAAACAAAAATTATTACAAACATCGTAAATAACAGTTCGCAAATGCATATATAGAGATATTTTTTGAAGGGGGGAATGGTCTTCGCAATTTGAAATCGATCGAACACACAGTGATCGAATGCTCGTGTAAACGCGCGCCATCTATCGTAGGATAAATGCCAGAAACCTTTGAGGGAGTGTATTAAAAAACTTCCCAAAGCTTCATGGCAATCGTACTACGCCAGAAACCTTCACGGGAGTATATTAAACAACTTCTCAAAGTTACACGGCAATCAGATAAACTGTGTGGTAATGCATGAAGGACACACACACACACATACATTCATTTATATATATATAGATAATAGCTAGAACTTTTTCTTCTTTTTCGTGCTCTGGAAGCTCTCGGCATTATTTATCAATCAATATCAAAAACATTCACTTGAGATAAATCCAATAACTATTTCGAATATTTTGTACAATTACCTGCAGAAATTAATGCCGATTCGAAAACCTGACATAAGTACACATACTGCCATCTAGCGTGATGACGTCATTTTTTAATTCCTCGAAGATTTTGCTATTTAACTAATTATAATTTAATGTCAGTTCTTCAAATATAATAGTAAACTTCAATAATAGACTTTTCTTTTAGACAGAAAGTATCAATACTAATTCATGTGTCGCCATCTAATGAAGAGAGAGGCAAATAGACAGACAAAAATCCGTTTCAGTTTTATTTAATTAAATTATATAATAAATTAACTATACAATTTAAAAATAAGTATTTATATCACGCAGTAGATTAATATCTATATGATACAGCAAGACAAACCTTGACAGCCGATTGCAGAGACAGAGTTTACATTACACAACGTTTAACAGCAGAACGGCCTCTGGCTGAACCGCAGTTTAAAATGCGTTGCAAAGACGATGATCGTCTATTTCTGAACTATATCCTTTTACAATATCGGTTAATTTATCGATATATTAATAAGAATTACGATAAGTAAATAATCTATATATTTTATTTAATTTCTCAACTATTCTGACAGGTTCTTTCGGTTCGTGAACTATTCTCTGATATCTCGAAATGAATTGACTTAATAATTTGACTTTACTATCGTCGGATAAATCGGTGCTCTCGAGTAATTTTTCGATGTTATTGCCAATTCTTATTTCAGGTTTTCGATGTGCCGCAAGTAATATGGGAGGGACCAGAGTCATTTGTTTCGCCATTAGATTCTTTTTCATATTACTTTGCCAATTAATCCTTAATAACGGTGCCAGTAGAAGAGGAAGGAATCCACCAAATTGATTAACCATAATTTTTTTCTTGATATTTAAAGGAACGTGTTTTTCACTTAATTTCCTCATCATTTTTTTTTATATTTTCGGGTATATTTCCTCTCCGCAAATTATCGCAAAACTTTAACTTGATCGGGAGTAGCTTCTTTCAATATTGCTCTTTGTTGAGAGGGAGTAGGCTAGTCTTGGCTAAAAGCGCCAACATATGATAATTCTTCTTTACGTTCTTTATTTTATCGGTAAATATATCCAAAAAAATACCTCGTTCATCCGGAAAAAACGAATCCCTCACGGGAAGTTTCTTGTTCGTTTTAGGATGAAAATCCAATAACAAATAACCAAATTCCTTTTCTGTCGCGTACGTTTACCGGCGAAAGCTTTCCTCCCCAAACAACTTACTTGACTTTCATCACGATTATTTTTAAACAAGATCAAATAACGTGTATTTAAAGTTATATCTTTCGTAATTTTATTTTTTGGAAACAGATTTTGCATTATCAAGATCACGCTTACATTATAATGATGAGAATCTGTTGTAAACAGGAACGCAGTTTTTGAACTGAGTTCATGCATCAAATCATCAATTATTACTAAATCCCATTCTTGCACGGATTCAGGTAAGCCGTGCACGAATTTAATAACTTTTTTTTATCGTGAAAAAAAACGGTAAATATACAGAATAATACTTTATAGACTTTTCATAAACTTTACATCGAATAATTTTTCTTACTAGCGTAGTCTTTCCACATTGCGACGATCCAACAATTATACAGTTACTCCGGTGCTTGAAATACATATCAATCGATTTTATGAACTTTAGTAAATTTATAATGCGTTGATCCACAATTTATCCCTCTAAATATTAATATATTCCTTTTATTCTTATCGACATAAATTTCGTTCATAACATCTGAATATTCCTCGAACGAATAATATAATTTATTACTAGCTTCGTTAATTCTTCTGTCTTCGTCAACAATTATAAAACCGAATTTACCAGCTCCTTTCCATATTTCCCCGTTAACTTTAAAATAACGCAAAATAATAGGGTTCAAATCGAGGACAGATGGTCGCGATTGGGTCTGGAAGAGAGCTATAGAGCATATCGATAGGAACAGAAAAGTCAACCCGTATGGGCGACCCTTCGCGAGATATAGGCCCCCTAAATGACGATATTCTTAAAGCCTGGCGACCCTCTTCTATGACTTGAGGATTCTGTAAAGAGATCTCTGAAGGATGATTCTCTCCGAGTGAGCGAATGAGAATAAGTGCGACTCAACTGGATTCGGTTAAATAAGAGTAGAACATCAAGACCAAATTTGGTAAGAATTTTTGGATCTCACGCTCGAATTCTCCAAATAGATGATAATTCTAGGAGTAGTAGTGACTAATAAATTCAAGGAAGATGTGTCACGCAAACGGGAAGTTAACTAAATGATAAAATTATATTAACTTCCTCCTAAATAATAGAGTTGACTAACAGTTAAATTTTTACTAAATTCTAACATTTTATAGAGAAAATATTTAAAAAGATATATGAGAAGAATGGCATGGATCATGACAAAACAAGTATCAAAAGAAAAGAAAAAGGAAAAGAACATAAATCCTTCACCATTTGTTTTATGGGATCAGGTAGACATTCCAACCGAAATCAAGGAAATTCTCCAAAAAGGGCCTAACTTCGTTCCGGAAGACAAAAACTTATGACAAATTTCAATGGCGGAACTGGAAAGAGGAATCTCAGAATTCAATGATTTAGCAGGGATTTCTTCAGATGGAAGACTGTTCTTAAAGACCATACCCGTAGAACAAAAAGCATTGAAATGAAACAGCTAAAGCACACAAAAAAATGGATAAATGACAATGATTTGGTCCTAACACGAGCTGACAAAACTAAACACCTAGTAATCATGAAAAGGCAAACTTACAACAAATCTTAGAAGATTATATTAAAAGAACAGAATGTGAGCAGGTCAATTAAAAAATCGTTATGAACGTAGACAGAAGGGTTAAAAAACTCGAAAAAGCACCACTAAGCTCCATATTAACTTTCCTTAAAGGATCTCATAACCCGAAGCCAGGGATGACAAGATTGTTTGCATTTGCAAAAATACATAAAGAAGGTAAAAAGTTTAGACCTGTGGTTGAGAAGTGAAGAAGACCCACATACAATCTTGAAAAACGTTTACATAAATTCATTTCAGAGGAGCTAGGTAGCAATGCTCTCGTTGCACAAAACCCAATGAATGTAGTAAAAGAACTACAGGAATTAAGTTTATTGGATGAAGAAGTTGGGACAATCATGGATTATGAAAACCTATACCCCTCTATAAAAATAGAATTTTGCTATGAAGCATTAATGGAATTTATGCTCCACAAAATACCGGAAATTGCTGCATTTACGAAAGATATGATGAAATTAGCCAAATTGTTGTTATGAGTCCTTCTTCAGTTTCGGTAAACAAGACTACAGACAACAAGATTACAGACAAAAGAAAGGGGTACCTATGAGAAGCCCGATATCAGAATTATTGTGTGAACTAATCTTACGCAACTTGGAGAAGAGCATTATCAATGGGTTCAAGATGAATATTGTATTTTACTAAAGTTATGTAGACGATGTCTGCATTATTTGGAAAAATGACAAGAAAATACAAGAGTTTGCTCATGTAATCAACAATAACAACAGCAATGGATTAAAGCTTAAACTATAGAAAAAAAGTCATAAACAGATATATTTTTTGGATTTAGACATCCAATTGAAAGGAGATGATATAACAACAGGTATCTACATAAAACCAACACATAGTCCACTATACATTCCGGCTAACTCGAACGACTCCTACGGATACAAACTGTCTGCCTTTCGAGCACTCATCAGAAGAGCGTATTCACATTGCTCTAATGTACTGGACAAGATCAAAGAACTTAATAGAATTAAAGAAACAGCTTCAAACTTGGGATATAAAAAGAGTACAATAGAAGGGCCAATTAAAAGATATGAAGGAGGCAATGTAATAAGAACCCAAGCAAATCAGTTAAAAATCTCCAAGTTCACATATAATCGAAATATCAAGAACATCATGAAACAAGTATCGGACAGAAAACACTCAAAAATGATTTTCAAAAGAGCGCCTAATATATACAGTATTTTAAGAAATGATAAAGACATGATTAAAAAAGAAGAAAAGGCAGCCGTTTGAAAATCAGGAATTAGGAATTAAGGACTATATTGGGGTCACAAGAAAGAATTTAGCTACCAGAAGCACAAATACGATATTAACAAAGAGTACTGCAACACAGTATTATCCTGTATGGCACAAAAAGAGGATTGTATGGTTAAATGGAATGAAGCGACTATACTCAGGACTATGCGTTCTCCATCATTGGTAATGCACGAAGAAAAAATCGAAATACATAAAAGTAAATTAAAAGATGGTTGTATTAACGCCAGGGATGCAGAGGGACTAGCTTCCGCATGGAAGTTCTACATAAAGAAAAACTAAAACGCAAATGAATTATTTTCTGACGTTATACCGCCAGAGATGTTCGGACTAAACAATTTCACAAGATCACGAGCTATCATTTAGTTTTTCTACAGTATGTTATACTGAAAATACAGTATAAATATGTTTCCTAATGTTCTATAATTTCAGCAACCGCTCTGAAAGACCCGAGATCAAATTCGGCGGGTTCAACGCGATAGAATTTTTTGGGGTGATTCGTCCGAACATATTTGGTCCCGTCCCTCATCACCTGGGCAAACTATTGTGAGCCTAGCCGAACCTAGAACGCGTTTGCTAAAAAAGCCCCTCTTATTTCTGACTGGGTAGTTTTGATCAATCAATATCATTCAAACAGTAAGAATCCGGATTCGAATCTCATTCCAGAAAGAACTTTTTCTTATTGTAGTTCAACTTAAACTATGAATTATACGAATATATGCTTCATGCAAAAAATCATTGTACTCCACCCTTTTCTTTTGCTTGGTATTTTTCAATTGGATGTACAGTACAGTTATACCTCAGTTTTCGTCCATAATCCGTCCGAAAACAATCGGCGAAATCCGAAACTGAAGAAAACCGAGTCAATTATTTCCATATGAATCAATGTAAATCCAATTAATTCGTTCTAGACACTCCAAAACACATTTCATAGAGAATAAATGTAGTGTTTATTTCTAAAACAATAAGAAATGAATATAAAATACTAATGTAAAGAATAAATGAACATTTAACACGGCATTGGAAGGACTGCTGGCTCTGGAAACTTTTTTTAGTTCCATGATGGAGCTAAAAGGAAAGGAAAGCAATGGAATTAGGTAGACGCGCGGGGTAATGCTCACGACGCCACACTGAGCAAGGGAACGTGGATTGCCTTTTGTTTTCGCATAATTAGCAGCACGGTCACATGGGCATGAGGACGAAATCCGAGACAAATTTTTCACAGAAAAAACCGAGGTATTACTGTATATTTGAAATAATCTCTGTTACGAATCTTCGTGGATTGACGATTTCCTGCCATTTCAATATACAATCGACCCCCCCTATAACACGGTAGATACGTTCCGGTTTTTATGAATCCATTTTTTACGAGTCCAGCCAATCACAGCCCGGCACGTATGCAGTTTACGGACTACGGCTGTTTGAAAGGTTTATTCCATAAAATTAATCGATTCTAGACTAATTCGACTCAACATTTCCAAAATACGTATAATGGTTTGGGAATAATCCATATAAACTATGCTATAAACAAAAAATTGTAGGATTACTTACCGAGTGTGCACCGTTCGACGACGCCATTGCGTAAGCTTGTTTTCCTCGTGGAGTGGCGCATCGAACGGCGGGCGCGTTTCCTGATAAATTATTTTTCTGCGAAAAATTTGCTGAACTCTGGAGACATCATTAATATAAATATAATTTTTATGGCCGTTAAATAATAAATGGTTTTTAGTAGGTCCGCTGCTCGTTTAAACTCAACGGCTTGTGCAATATCCGCTATTGGTCTAGATTCGACCAATCCTGTCGCGACACGAGTAGGCGATGACGTTTTACCGAATTATGAGTTTTTAAGCATGTTTTACGAATACTATCAATTTTTTTAGGGGGGTCGACTGTACTGAATATTCATTTTCAAACTACATACTGCTGCATGCAAGTACAGTACCATTGAAAAACCTCGTACAGTAACATCTCATATTATGCATTGTTTTATAGAATATAATAGGCAATGAGGATTTGTGTGTAAAATAAGATTCGAGCTACGAGTTTTTCCACTGTAAAAATGCATGCATGCTTAGTGTGGAATTTATGTATCGCCAGATGATGTTTTTCCAATTGTTTCAATTATAACTCAAATTTGTCTTTCCAACATATCAACAAATATTTTATTTCAAAACTTTTATTTGATATTTTATATATTACAATATTCCAGTCGTATAATTTAAGACTTAACATATAATTTGATATAATTTGGCTTACAAATGAACGTAGTGTATAAAATATAAAAAAAATTTTATATGATGAAGAACTGTTATTTATTCCGACTTGGAAATTTATTTACACCAGTAGATAATGGAGCAGTGATGTCACATATGTACATGAATTTACAATAATCTTGGTTAGTTTACAACCGATTATTTTGTTATTCTTCTAATACGTGATCATTTTGATCACTTCATTCACAGATGATGATTTAACAGGAAATAACAGATTTCTTTGTTCAGCATTTGAAATTAGAGCATTCCAATGAGCATGGTTCCTGAGAAATGCCACATGACAGCACACAATGAGCGAACAGCGGGCTCGAGTGATGGCCACGTTTAATCTTTGTCCATCGTTCAAAAATCCAATATTTCCGGAATAATTATTTCCTCTGACACAAGACAATATAATGACATCTTTTTCACGTCCTTGAAAGCCGTCGACGGTGTTTATTTCTATTCTTTGCTGATATTCCTTACTCAAACTCGTTTGACTCTCAAAATATCTAGTGAAAACCTGTCTCTGGCCCTGATAAGGCGTAATGATGCCTATGGAACTGGACATGGGAAGAATATGTAACAGTTCCATGCATAGTTTGCTGACAAAATTTGCTTCAGGCATGTTATATATATTTGCAGGATTATCTTTACATTCTTGACTATCTATAATATCTAACATTACATATGGTTTTATAGGAAATTGAGGACGAGTTCCACTAGATATTAATCTAGTACCATAAAAATGTTGAGAAGGAAATTTGCAGATTTCGGGATGCATACAATATTGTTCAGTCAACATAAAAATTGGACTATGTTGTTTCATTTGCAAAAAATATTTGTAAAACCTTTCAAATAAAGATAACTGAAATCCACACTGTGCAGCAGTTTTCAAAGTAACTAACGCTGGCAACAGTTGTGGATCACCCACTAACACCAATTTATTGATTCCATATTCGAGGGGAATCAAAATTTCAGGTTCTGTGCATTGAGTAGCTTCGTCCACGATGCAACAAGTGAATGTAACAGAACTATTTCTACCAAAAGCATTTTCTAGTGGTGCATTCTTACAACTGTTTAACGTAGTGAGTATGATGTCCGCTTTGGTTAAGATCTCTATCCTTAATTTCTGCTTATAATACTCGATGTTTCTAAAACTATCGTTTCTGTTTCTAAAGTAATCAAGCCTCTGATAATATTTTTCTAACTGTAACTGTTTATCTTTTATTTCACTTTCGGGATGTTTACGATCTTTTTTCGTTTGAATCTCCAATTGCAACCTATTAATCCTTGCTTCTAAGTCATTTATGCTAATTTGAAGATCGCTTTCGTTCATCATTTCTTTCAAATTATACTTAACCAATTCATCAATAAAATAAAATCTCAACTCTTTGTGAACGTGGTCGCACTGTCCGATTCGAACAAATCGTACTTTTTTTCCATCAGGTTTCTTCAGATAAGATTTTTGTTTCAATAAACGTCGGCCGATTTCATCCACTGCAGCGTTAGAAGGAGCTGTGATAAGAAATTTCACATATTGGTCTCCCACCCTCTGATTTAACAATTGATGAATAATTCCTATAATGGTGGAAGTTTTTCCAGTACCTGGTGGACCATGCAGAAGAAGAATTCGCGGAATGGAGTGTGGCTGGCATATGCTTCTGGATATATTAGCAATTGCATGTTTCTGTGATGCATTAAAATTTTCCATAGATCTAAGACGAAAATCAGGGTTTTTTTCAAACGAACACACTTTAAAATCGGGTTTAATAATGAAAGGATGTAGACTGCTATCGGAAAACTTTAGTAACGCATCGAAATGTCTTAAGGACGGTCTTAAATACCAAATACCCTGAATTTTCATGAGTTTTGAAAGATCGAGACTTTGCTCACGCAATTTTGTTTTCACTACAAATGAGACTAATTGAGAGTTTTCTTCTTTACTAGCTGGTAAATTATTTAATAGAGAATTGGCTTGAGCCCTGAATCTTTCAGTTTTATGCTCTGATATATAACCAAATACTCTTACAACTGCTTTCTGAATGTTACTTATCCTTAAATCCATAATAACAAGATTCCCTTCAAATGGTTGCGATGCTTTATCAAAAGATTCTTTCATTGATACTACTGTCTGACAGTTCAGTATCATCATATCTCTGAATGAATTATAACTTGTAACTGAAGCGTAAATGCTTCTACCAGTTGAACGTTCTGTTTTCGTTTTCCATGATCTGAAAATACAGTTCCATATTTCCAATAATAATAAATTTATGTATGTATTAAAGTATTCTTCTAAAGAATTATAGGATAGTGTGACTTTCTTTAAAGATGTTTGATCTACTACAGGTGGTGGATTAACTTTTTCTCTCTGTTCTAACAACCAGTTTACGTTCCACTGAACTATTTTAGCGATTACATTTTCTATAGTCATGAACTGATTTTGTTGTAGTTGATTAGGAAAGGTATTATTATTATTATTATTAATGAATTTTCCCCTTTTGTTCAAATTTTCTGAAGGTTTCAATACAGAACAGCTATAAGAGCTGACATCTGTCATTATCTGTCGACTTTCAACATTAGCAGAAAATCTAACTTTTTTTGTTTTATTAGTTGTTCCTACATTCTTTTGCAAACTTTGTGTAAGCTTTGCACGATCCTCAATTAAAGATTGACCAGCTTTGTTTTTCACCTCTTTCTGTTTGTCATGAAACCCATTTAAAGAATGTCTCCTCTCGTCCTTATCTTTTGGTAGTTCAGATTCAGATGATTCTGAACGTGTCGTCTTTTTTGGAATTTTATAATTTTGAAGAGAATTTTTGTAATTTGACTTAGATTTTTCCAAAACAGTTTTTGCTGACGTTTTCTTAGCCAAATTGACATTGCTAGCTGAATTGTTAATCATATCTTCAGCAAGTTTCGAAGATCTGGATTCGAAATTCCGAGTTGGTATCGTAGCCTTTTTCTTTGCTTGTTGATGAACGAGTGGCAATTTAGCTTGAGCATCCATATTTTTTGCTAATTTGTTTGTTGTATCTGTTTGAATATTATTATTATTGCTGCTAATAATTCTGATATCATTAGCATTTGTAGTAGATCTTATTGCGGAACCACCCCCTGGAAAGCGTAAGCGATATCCCATATTTTCTTTAAGTTTCTCTTTCAATGAACAGTGCTTTTCCTTTTTCTTAGTAGACACTTTCGTCTTTTCTCTCACGGGAACATTTGGTTTTCTTAATTTCTTTTCCGATGTTTTTGACAGAAATTCGTCGTTCTTAGCATTTCTTTCAGTAAACCATTCTTCTCGACCACGAGCATATTTAGGCCTACGATTCATTGGCAATGCTTCAGTAAGTTGAATGCATTGAATGCCACTTGATTTATCTCCAGTACAGGAGCGACCGATTTCTGGTTTTGTTTTGTCATCATCTTTAGAAATTTCTGACACATTTTTCGTTTTCTCCTGTCTTGTTGTTACAAGGGATTCATTTTCAGATGATGAAGTGCCATCATCATCAGAATAGAAGGATTGAGAAAGTACTGGAAAGAATTCTTCTGAATCCTTTTCTTTCGTTTCCTCTTCGGGATCTTCAGAAAGAGGTGGCCACAGAAGTCGACTGAACAATTCTTCATCTTTAATATCTTTTGCAACGTCATCATCCAAAGGTATAAAATTATCATCTACAGTATCGCAAGGAAAATCTTCCTTTGAACATTTTATATCATCATCAAAATAATTATTGGAATCCTCATCACAGCGATATTCAAATTCATCATTTTTTTCGGTTTTGAAAGTTTTTTTATTGTCCACTTGCTTAATTTTATCGCTGTGAGCATCAGTTTCATCATCATCATCATCATCATCCGATATAATTATTATTTCATCACTTTGAGAATATCCTGAATCTTCGTTTATTATTATAACACTATCTTCAAATTCAGTTATATTTTTATTACATTTTTTTTCATCATCCGAAGGTAAATCATCTTCAATTACAATTACATTGTTGGGAACGATCAGATTCTTTTTATCTGTATTTTCTGAGAGAGCTTTTCCTTCCTTCTCATTTGTTTTTGATTCTTCTTCCAAATTCTCATCTTCGCACTTAATATCACTTAATAATATATCGGACTTTTTTAAACTGGACTGAACAATCCCAGAATGGTCTTTTAAAAGAATGATTTGATTCGAACTGTTATCACGATCGGCTTTATTATTTAACTTTTTATTGTATGTTTCTGATAAATACTTTTTAACTCTATGGTTAGGAGAAAAATCTGATTCACTATCATCAGAAGAGAAAATTCTTCTTTTCCTTGTAGTTACCAAATGTGAAGTCTTTGAAACATTGAAAATGTCTTGATCATCATCATCACATGATGATGATGATTCACCAAGAATCTCTTTCTTTTTCTTTAAATTACAAATTTTAAAATCGTCATGGTCATCACTTTCTGATGATGATGATGATTTACCAAGAATCTTTTTCTTTTTCTTTAAATTACAAATTTCAAAATTGTAATGGTCATCACTTTCTGATGATGATGATTCGTCAGGTAATTCTTTCTTTATGTTTTTTAAATTTAAATTATGAAATTCTTCACTATGGTCACAATTTGATATCACGTCATTGGTTTCCTTTCTTCTCTTCTTTTCAATTGAAGGTTTGGACAATTTCACTTGATCACTATTCGATAATGGTGATTCGTTGTGTATTTCGGTTTTTGATCTTTGTAACCTCAGAATATCATCATCACATCGTTTTAACTTTACTATACATTCTTTGACTTGAACAGTTTTATCCAATATACTACAGTCTGTAATTGAATTGCTACTTATCTCTTCACAGTTCTGTTCTTTTGTAACAGGATTACTCAAAGAATGAAATTTTTCTGAACCATCCTGACTGGGAGATGTTTTCAATTTACCTGTTATATTTGGTTCCACATTAACATTTTGAGATTCTATCTCAAAATTGTTCCGTTTTCGACATAATCTGAATAAAAAATGTCCTTCTGAAGTGGCAGATGTTATTCCTAACCCAATTACATCAGATTCTTGAATGTTATACGAACATCCAGAATCGATCTTGACGTTATTGACAAAGACTCCATTTGTACTTTGAAGATCTTGAATGATCCATCCGCCATTGGAAGTCCTCTCAAAGCGAACATGTCTACGAGATATTCCTGGACTATCTTTGAGATGTCTGTTGCTACTTCTTCCAACAATTATTTCATTTTTGTCTAAAGGTATCAGAACACATTTTTCGAAATTCCCTATCCTTAATAAAAACCATTCTGCTTGTATATCTTTTTCAGAAATCAGACCTTCTGCCATCTTCTTCGAACATACCTGAAAGAAATTAACAGTTAAAATGGAATTATAAAATCGGTCATATTGAAAAATATTTTAGGTAATTAAATTTTATTGCTTTAATCAGATTTTGATGAAACTTGGTATATATGTTATACTAGCAGATGAGCTGGGTGTTGCACGGGCGAAAAACAGCAGCAGCAAAGATTAAGATTAAGATTATTTCGTGCTTCTAACCCTTCTATTATATTATAAAGATTATATTACATAAAAGTTTATCACACCAAGTGCCCAATCTAACACATTTTAAAAATTTTTTAAATTGGGTACAGTAGAGGAATATGTGTTAGAGTGGTCACTCTGCATGATTAAAAACAAATCCTTCTCTTTACATAAAATTCTTATGTTATTTCTATAATACAATTATTTTTCTTGCAATGTGGAAAACTGTAGAAACTGGCAGTATTTTAGCTTATAGCCACTTTATGCTCCTTGATCTGACTGTTTCCAGAAATCATGGTGTCTACTACACATGCAAGATTGTCAGCAATTACAGATGGTGAGCTCAAGTGTGGTTTCATCATGCACATTCTCCTAATCTTGCTTAGTCTTATCCACTTACAAACTTTGCTATTATTCATGGCATTCAGACCATAATCTCCACAAATCTGGCAATGAATCTCTGCTGACTTCACATTTCCTACAGTCAGGAAGAAAATAATGGACCTTATTTCACAGATGGCAAGCTGCTCAATCTTGTTAAACATTTCCATCACACAACACTAAATGCACACACTGCCAGAAACTCAAAATGGTGTCTGTTTATGTGCAAGGAATACCAGGAGACACTGCTGATGTGCAAAATTATGAACACACACATTTTAAAGAGATATTGCGAAATGGTTCTTACTTAAAAATATCCCTAATATTTCAGAACATTTTGCATTGTTTTCTGCAATTATTTCAGCTCTGCTCAAAATAAAAGATAATATTGTTATAATCATAACAGGTTTCTAAATTAGAGAACTTACAGGCTACAATTAAAGTAGAGGTTTTCAAGTTCAATTGTACAAAACTTGTAAGTGCAATCAGGACAAGAGCACAAATCAATATCAAATGAATTTGAACATGTTGCAACTACCATAGTGGAAGATAATGCTGCCCAAGCACTGCAGGATTCATCTGCAATGCTTGCACATGATTTCCCACACAATTGAATAAAGCATATCCAGTTGCCTGGATACGCTTTATTCAACTGTGTGGGAAATCATGTGAAAAAATACTGAAGTGTTTTCCCTACAAGATTAGTCCAAAAACTCCCTCCAGAAGATCTGGAAATTTTAACGCACTTTGTTCCTAGCTCAGACGGAAGTGAATGATGCATGGCCTTGAACATCCTATAGAGCAATAAGACACATTTTTATCTGAATGGCATTGTCAATATATAAAAGTTTGCATTTGGGCTACTGAGACCCCTTTGATTGAGAATATTCCCTTGCAGCCACAGAAATCAGTGTGGCATCACTTTACTGTCTTGTTCATAATTAGTCCATACTTACAAAGAATCCAAAGCAACAAGACTAGTGACTTGTTCTGTCACTGTAGTGAGATATTGACAAATGCTGCTCAACTTTGTTATTCTGAAACTCCAACAGCATGGATGTCTTAACATCAGCATGTCTGCCGAATGGAGCACCATATCACATAGGATTGAATGTCTACCAAGTCCTACAACAGTGTTTCACTGAAGACCAAATAATTCAGTGTTTCTCAAAGGGCGTGCCGCAAAATGTTAAAAAATTTTTATTTTAACATCATTGTCCGAATATACGTACAATACCATTAATAAGAATAAAGTACATGAATGATCTTTTTATGACAAATTGAAATTGACATATCCGAATACAGGAGCATCTGCATTCAGGCGCCAACACTATTTGAATAAAGACCAATTATCTGTCACCCACAGACCACATGAATCGGACCAATGCTATATTGTATAAGTGCACAGCACCCCTGAATTATCTCAGAAAGTCAAAATACAGGATCCTGTCTCTAGTCTCTAGTTGTCTGGGAGTTGTAAATGTAGGCATGCAACATATTATGTATTTATATACTGCATGCCTATGTGGTGAAAAAAAACCATTTGAATTTGAAATCCTTTTATCAATGATACAGCAAACTGGTATCTTTGTCTTGAAGAATAGGAAGAACTGATTTCCCTTTCATCTGATTGAACATTAAAAATCAAAAATTCGGAATTTAATTTAGATACTTTTTGGATTTCAGTCAGAGATGAATATTCAATATTATCTAAAAGCAATAAATATTTTACTCCAATTTTCTAAGTTGTATTTATGTGAGTTTGTATTTTCAACTCTCACTAACATGAAAAATAAAAACAATCAAGATTGGAAAATGTCAAATATGAATTGTGAGCTGCTCTGTCTGAATGACCTGATATAGCAGAAATGACAATCATCATCAATCACATATTTCACATTGTAATTTTTTACATAAAAAATCATTTGAACTTTTATGAAATATTTAAATAATTTAAAGCTTTGTTAAAGGCATAAATATTTTCTTTTTGTAATTATTTATTTAATTATTTTTATATTTTATTTTAGTTGTAAGAATTGTTTGCATAATACAGACATAATACAAGTATAAACAAAAGAATTGTTAACTAAATTAAATAAATAGAATGAAAAATAATTTTTGTTTTATTCATTTCATTTAGAAATTTCTTCTTCTATGACTATGTAGGTGTGCCACAAAATTTTTCTTCTTTGAAAAATGTGTCACAAGAGTAAAAAGGTCGAAAAAAGCTGAAATAATTAATTGAGCATTCCCCAGAAAGTGGCCAGCCCATTCACCTGACTTACTCCATGTGACTATTAGTTGTGATGGTATTTAAAAAGTTTGGTTTACAAGGACATGTAATAGTTTGGCAACTTTGAAGGACCAAATAATACTTTATGTATTACAAACTGATGATACAGTAGACCCCCCCTATAACACAAGTTCCTATAATTACGATTCCTATAAGACAAAAATTGCAACGGTATCCGTACAAACCTGGTAGAAAAACTCCTATAATTTGGTAAAACATCATCGGGCAGCCGAACTACATTCCACCGTCCAGCGCCACGCTACGGAGAATTTAGGTGGGTAAATTGAGTTTACTATCGTCTGTACAGTATTATATATAAATTAGGTACTGTAGATATAATTATATATTAACTTAATTTATTGTAACTTTATTATAATTATATATATATATACTTTTCCGTCGTCCAGCGCCATGCTACGGAGAGTTTAGACGAGTAAGTTGTTTACTATCGTCTGTACAGTATGTAAATTAGGTACCGTAAGTCTAATACAGTACTATAATTTTACACATTTCTTGTGAAAGAAACATTTCTTATTCAACGGCCATAAAAATTATTTNACAATACAATAAAAGAGTTTCTGGACCTGACTTGCTGTAAGATACCGAGAGAAATATCTTCGGATTAAAGAGACAACCATTCACTATAGAAGCAGTGTTTCGTGATGACAGTAGTGCATGGCCAAATCCAGGGGTCGGCAACCTTTTGAGTCGGAAGAGCCAAAATTACAATTTACAAAATTTCAAAGTTTTTAAAAAGCCACAAAATTTTTTCTTGCCAACAATAGTACTTGCATAAATAAAGTTTTTTGATAAAAAAAACTAATCTATTTATTCATAAGAAAAAATATCTATTTATTCATATATAAGTAGTGTTTTTCACAACAAATTAGATAATAGAAACATCCAACGACGGCGTCATTCGAGAGCTTCCGACAGACTGACAACAGTGACGACTCGTATCACGGGGGCGGGGGCGGTGAAAAGCAAGTACAAGTGGCTGAGAGATAGAATCAGTGCCTAATCCTCGTTAATCGATTCAGAACGATTTTTAATTTTTTTTTGATAAAATAAATAATATTTGCGTATGGAACTAAAGAGCCACAGCTTCACATCCAAAGAGCCACATGTGGCTCGCGAGCTGCAGGGTGCCGACCCCTGGTTTATACGGATTATTCCCCCCAAAAATTATACATATTTTGGAAATGTTGAGTCGAATTAGTCTAGAATTGATTAATTTTATGGAAGAAAACCTTTCAAACAGCCGTAGTCCATAAACTTCACACGTGTTGGGCTGTGATTGGCAAGGACTCGTACAAAATTGATTCATAAAGAATGGAACGTATCTACCGTGTTATAGGGGGATCAACTGTATTCTGCATTCTGCAGTGAAAAGTGCAGTTTATAGAATTCAGTTTTTGGAACATATTGAACCGTATATGTAATTGGGTCAGAATAAAAACTATTGTCCACTGTTACATTTTGTTTTCTTTACTAAGCCTTATTTACTCCACATACAAAGCTATTTTCTAACACAAAAGGTTATAAAAAGGTTTTGTGGATTGTTAATGCTATTTTCCCTGGTGACAAAAACCTGAAGTAAAAACTTTTATTACAGAAATCAAAATCCCATGATCTGAATATTATGTACACCAATTTTGGTTGGCCAAATAGATTTTGTAAAATTGAGCTTGAAACATCTCTACTTTAATTATGACCACCTGATATAATAAGAACACAGCAGATTCACAACAGAATAAGAAGGAATTTTAGAATTGATCAATTCAATTAGAGGATGAGATGAATATAATCAAGTTTCCAATAAAATGAGAATGGAATGAAAACTTAGCAAGTATCGCTAAGGAATGGAATGATCAATGCAAAATGGAATTTAGTCTTCCTTCATGTGAGAAAAAGTTCAGTCAAAATAGAGATACCATCAGTAATTATTTCTTTGATCAATTTCACCAAATAAATAAGTGGGCAGATGGTTCTAATTATACTGAAATACCAGAAATAACATTATAAATAAATAATGACAAGTGAGTTGTAGATCACATCTTTTATCTAATTTTCTTTGTGTAGCTATCATTCATTCATAAGATACTTGGAATAGTTGAATTCTAAGCTCTACTATAAAAAGTTTTCAAAGTAAAATATCTTTTTCTATTTAATCAATTTCATACAATTGGGACTAAATGCATTAATATAAAAAGGCAATTTTGTTCAATTCTTTACGTTTTAAACATTTTAAAAATCAAATTTATCAATACCTTGAAGGTAACAAATATCTTCAAGATATTAACTATAAAATACAACTACAACTATTATATGATATTTACTATGCTGATAAAAGAAATTAATATAATTTAAATAATATATATTTATTGTTACCTATAAATTTGATGATCCATTTTTCATTATTCAATAAGTTATTTTGGTTAATCTTATTTCATACAACTGAAACTGTAACAAAAATCAATCAAATGCTTGAATTCTATGGATTATCTTCATAACCTAAAATTTAAAAAGAAAATTCTATAAAATTACATTTCTTTTAATTTAAAAAAATCATAAATTTATGATTAAAAACTCTAAAGCATTAACTTTTCATAATTTGTTTATTTATTTCATTTAATAGTTCTCAATCCTTTTTTAAATTTTTAATTGTTATCTCTTTTAAATGCATTCTAATATTAACCATATTGATTCTCATCAACAATTGCAAGCTAAGCATGCCAACTCCCAAAGAGCTGATTATAGACATTTTCCATTCCAGGAGTGAAAGTTGAATGAATTGATGTTTTTTACTCTCAGTAATATCAAAAATGCTGTTGCCTGTTCTTTAGTCTACTTTAATATATAGGGTGTTTATAAACGAATGGTGCGGTTTTAAAAATTAATAATAAATCTATTTATTACCTTACATGGGCAAACCTTACAGCATAAGCAGCGGCAACTGTCCAAGTTTTTTATGCGCTACCCGCTCTTTGCTTGTCATGCACTGCAGACCATCACAGAGGACATGCTACATCGTGTATGAGAAGAATTTGATTACCATGTAGATGTGTCATGTGACCATGGGTGGACATATTGAAGGATTGTCATTAATGCATAAAAAACTTGGACAGTTATAAGGTAATAAATAGATTTATTATTAATTTTTAAAACGCACCATTCATTTATAAACACCCTGTATGTATGTATGTATGTATGTATGTATGTANTGTGGCTCGCGAGCCGCAGGGTGCCGACCCCTGGTTTATACGGATTATTCCCCCCAAAAATTATACATATTTTGGAAATGTTGAGTCAAATTAGTCTAGAATTGATTAATTTTATGGAAGAAAACCTTTCAAACAGCCGTAGTCCATAAACTTCACACGTGTTGGGCTGTGATTGGCAAGGACTTGTACAAAATTGATTCATAAAGAATGGAACGTATCTACCGTGTTATAGGGGGATCAACTGTATTCTGCATTCTGCAGTGAAAAGTGCAGTTTATAGAATTCAGTTTTTGGAACATATTGAACCGTATATGTAATTGGGTCAGAATAAAAACTATTGTCCACTGTTACATTTTGTTTTCTTTACTAAGCCTTATTTACTCCACATACAAAGCTATTTTCTAACACAAAAGGTTATAAAAAGGTTTTGTGGATTGTTAATGCTATTTTCCCTGGTGACAAAAACCTGAAGTAAAAACTTTTATTACAGAAATCAAAATCCCATGATCTGAATATTATGTACACCAATTTTGGTTGGCCAAATAGATTTTGTAAAATTGAGCTTGAAACATCTCTACTTTAATTATGACCACCTGATATAATAAGAACACAGCAGATTCACAACAGAATAAGAAGGAATTTTAGAATTGATCAATTCAATTAGAGGATGAGATGAATATAATCAAGTTTCCAATAAAATGAGAATGGAATGAAAACTTAGCAAGTATCGCTAAGGAATGGAATGATCAATGCAAAATGGAATTTAGTCTTCCTTCATGTGAGAAAAAGTTCAGTCAAAATAGAGATACCATCAGTAATTATTTCTTTGATCAATTTCACCAAATAAATAAGTGGGCAGATGGTTCTAATTATACTGAAATACCAGAAATAACATTATAAATAAATAATGACAAGTGAGTTGTAGATCACATCTTTTATCTAATTTTCTTTGTGTAGCTATCATTCATTCATAAGATACTTGGAATAGTTGAATTCTAAGCTCTACTATAAAAAGTTTTCAAAGTAAAATATCTTTTTCTATTTAATCAATTTCATACAATTGGGACTAAATGCATTAATATAAAAAGGCAATTTTGTTCAATTCTTTACGTTTTAAACATTTTAAAAATCAAATTTATCAATACCTTGAAGGTAACAAATATCTTCAAGATATTAACTATAAAATACAACTACAACTATTATATGATATTTACTATGCTGATAAAAGAAATTAATATAATTTAAATAATATATATTTATTGTTACCTATAAATTTGATGATCCATTTTTCATTATTCAATAAGTTATTTTGGTTAATCTTATTTCATACAACTGAAACTGTAACAAAAATCAATCAAATGCTTGAATTCTATGGATTATCTTCATAACCTAAAATTTAAAAAGAAAATTCTATAAAATTACATTTCTTTTAATTTAAAAAAATCATAAATTTATGATTAAAAACTCTAAAGCATTAACTTTTCATAATTTGTTTATTTATTTCATTTAATAGTTCTCAATCCTTTTTTAAATTTTTAATTGTTATCTCTTTTAAATGCATTCTAATATTAACCATATTGATTCTCATCAACAATTGCAAGCTAAGCATGCCAACTCCCAAAGAGCTGATTATAGACATTTTCCATTCCAGGAGTGAAAGTTGAATGAATTGATGTTTTTTACTCTCAGTAATATCAAAAATGCTGTTGCCTGTTCTTTAGTCTACTTTAATATATAGGGTGTTTATAAACGAATGGTGCGGTTTTAAAAATTAATAATAAATCTATTTATTACCTTACATGGGCAAACCTTACAGCATAAGCAGCGGCAACTGTCCAAGTTTTTTATGCGCTACCCGCTCTTTGCTTGTCATGCACTGCAGACCATCACAGAGGACATGCTACATCGTGTATGAGAAGAATTTGATTACCATGTAGATGTGTCATGTGACCATGGGTGGACATATTGAAGGATTGTCATTAATGCATAAAAAACTTGGACAGTTATAAGGTAATAAATAGATTTATTATTAATTTTTAAAACGCACCATTCATTTATAAACATCCTGTATGTATGTATGTATGTATGTATGTATGTATGTATGTATATATATATAAAAGACAATATTTTTAAGTAAATATGGGAGGAATAGATCNCTCCACCACTCAACGAGATCAAAAATTAAAAATAAGAATATTACGTAAGATGAGATCTAGGTATTTATTCTATAATCATTGGATGCAGTTTGTAAAAAATATTTTCATGTGAGGACTAATTGTTAGCAACTGGAAATACACATATTAAAGCTCCATTTGATTATGTTATATTAACTATTATTACATAATATAACCTATATGTATATTGTGATAAAAAAAATACAAAATATTGTTATTCAAAGTCTAAAACTTTGGGACTTGTAAACGTCTTTAAAGGTAGGTATGCTTAGGGGCCACCCATAAATTACGTAAGTGCAATTTTGGCCATTCTAGCCCCCACCCAGCTCTGTGTAAAAAACTGTAATATTTTCTTTGATTCCCCTCCCCTTCCCTATCTTACGTAATATTTAGGCACGATTTTTTAGAATGATTTTAACAAAAAACAATTTCTTTATGAAACCCTAAAAACCTTAGGCCCAAAATATATAATTATTAATTAGTTAATTAATATGTCGTATTATTTATAAAAAGACTTTACATTTTTAAATTTGTTAACATAAAAATTTAATGAATTTGAATGAACAATTTATTTTAAGAACTTTATTTTTTAATTATTAACAATCCTTTTTTTATTATTATCATCATTAATCAACACCATAATATTCATTTTTATATTAATTTTAATTTTCACTAGCTAGTTAGTGCACTTGTAGACTAGCTAGTGCACATGTAAACAGAAACGTCATACAAATTAAACAAGAGAGAACAGAACCCATATTCCATTGCCATATTAATTACATATTGGATAGGGTCAATAAAATAAACTACATGCTGCTAAAATGTGCTAGGTACACCTGGGGACTAAATCATAAAGTTTGTAAAACTGTATATAATGGGGCAATACAACCAATGCTATTTTACATGGCCTCTAGCTGGGGTCAGGTAACTAGTAAAAATTCAGTAGCAAGTAAATTACTCTCTCTTCAAAGACCATCAGAATTTCAAAGTGCTGCAGAACTGTTTTTACTAATGCCTCTCTGATATTAGCAGAGCTCCTTCCTTTGCCACTATGTATTGCAGAAAAGGTTATAAACTACTACATCAGAACTACAAACATCAAGGCTCAACAACAGTCTCTACTCCTATCTACGGCTCTTCATATGCATTGCATTCACCCTACTATTGAATTTACCCTACCATTACATTGCAATTACTCTACTATCTCTGATCATCATCCTGTAAACAAGGTTATTTCATGTCATCTGATTCCTCCATGGATAATCATGCAGACATTAACATTTACATAGATGGGTCTAAAAGCTCCCTTCATGTTGGCTCAAGTATCTGTATCTTCCTCCAAACTGACATATTTTGCCCAAAATGTGTTAGAAAGTACAGATACCCCCCACATATCAAGCTGATGATGATGCTGTCTACCAAGCTGTTCAGTGGGCCACTTCACTACCAAACAAAACTCTGTCTATCAACATTTACAGTGATTCTCAGTCTGTCCTAAAAGCTCTATTAAATCCCAATTGCAATAGCAATAAAATCGCATATATCCACACCATATATCAGCACCATATTAAAAATCTTGTAAATAAGATAACTTTTATATATTTTCCTGGCCATACTGGCATACTTAGAAATGAAAAAGCTGACTTTGAGGCTAAGTCAGCTGCAAAGGACACTGACTTGGACTACACTCACATCCCTCTCTCATGCTGTAGCAGCCTTAAAAATTACATTCGTGACAATGCTATGCAAAAGTGGAATCAACAATGGTTGAGCAGTAAAACTGGTAGAATAACAGGACTTTATTTTCCTAGTGTTGAATGTAGGTTTTCATCACCACTTAGGTAATGTTTGCTACTGCTCAACTACTTACTGAGCATGGTAATTTTAGAAGCTACCTGGCGATGTATAACTGGGCAGAAACTGCCTCTTGCTTCTGCTCTACAGAAAACCTAGACAATGTCGACCATATGATCCATCATTGTCCAACTTATGATTAACATACATTTATTCTAAAATTAGAAATCTTTACACTTAGATTCACATGGCCATGTCCATTTGATAAGCTTGTTCAGAGACTACTGTTTGATGCTTTTTACAATTATGTTCAAAAAACATGGAAGAAAAGACTATTTATAATTTCTAATATCTAGTTTTACATTTTAGTTTTCACTAAAAGCCAAATACTAATTTTATGTTAACTTTGTATCATGTGTTTTGGTTTAAGTATTCTTAGTATTAAACATCCTTAGGAGTTGTGCACTTATTCTGAAAAAAAAGAGAGAGAGAGAAACCACCACACGGCCTTTCTTCCATGAAAAAAACGTGTAGAGCATGAGTCTGCTAGCGCTATTATTTTATCATGTCACATGAGATGGCTTTAGTACAACGAGAGTTCTTAATAGAAACGGCCAAAATTAGAAGCCAAATTCAAAACTTCACCATTCAACGAGATCAAAAATTAAAAATAAGAATATTACGTAAGATGAGATCTATTACCCCCCTACCCGAGTAAGAAATCCTTGACCCCCACCCACCCCAAAATATCTTACGTAATTTATGGACGGCCCCTTACTATACGGCACGCGGGCTCAAAAAACATTCGCCATCCCTGTTACATATAATAATATTTAATATTCATTAATACTAGATAGCCAGTTAATAAAACTAAACATATTTAAATTTAAAAAAATAATTAAAATTCTGGCCTTTACACTGAAACTGAAACTAACATTAAAAATAGAATAAAAAAATTAATTAATTTAAATTAAAATCAAATCAATTGAAACACTATTTCGGAAAGTGTGGATAAAGCACTTGTTCGTCTTGATTGATTTGCTTGTGTTTCGTCCAGGCAGTCAGAGTTGAGTGTCTACTTACAGCACTTGTTTGTAAAGTGTTAGTTTCGCTTTCGGTTTCGGAGGTGGTGGAACATTTTGTTTTTAATGTATACAGAACAGATATTATATATATTACGTTACATTTGTAGGCATTCATATGCATGGTAAGCTAAAAAATCCAGCAACATTTAGAATTTTGGTGGCACTATCTGTTATATTTTATTGAAAAAACATATTTTTAACTATTATAAAATGGCAGAGCTTAATTTTGTGGGTAGAGATGAGTTTTATAAAAATTTGTAAATGCTAATGATTTTACTCGTTATTAAATCCGACCCTACTGGAGATACACACGACCTTCATTATCTCCCCACCCCATCGACCTTTTAACCACCAAAATTTAAGAGCATCAGTCCCCTAGGAAGCAAACCTCCCTGCAAAATTTCGGAAATTTTCGACAAAATGCGCAGGAGTTAAGTTTCAAACAGGGTAGAACAAAATCGTGCCCCTCCCCCACACACTAACATCTATACATACAGAAATGACCCCCGAATTTTTTTTGCGTTTCTCGACGTTTCAAGACGTCTTAAGTCCAAAAATGTAGAAATATGGGGGTCATTTTTTGCCGGATCGCCATATGAACCCTTTGTATAAATGTCATTTTTTGCCGGAAAAGTAAAAAGTAAAACAAGAGCTTTGTTTTGGGAGTCAGGATTAATCCATTTTATATTGTTTATGGGAAAATTTAGGAACGAATTAACTTCAATAACCGAAAACAAATGGTGCAAGAAAAAAATCAAGTTTTTCTGCCAAACCGCGTTAAATCGAACCCGTGTTAAAACAAAATTTTATTTTCTTCGAACGATCTTACCTTTCACTTCAAACTAGTTCAGAAAATGGGAAGAATATTACGTCAAACACTGACCTATTTCGACTAAGGTCACAGATTTGCAATGCACGACACCGGTTTAACAACTTAATAGACAGTCGTCGACTTCCGGACAACTCGCTCTTTCAAACGTAACACATTTGAAAACCTTGAAGACATGTTATCCGTTTTCTTCTTCAACCTCTACATACATAGATATAATTTGCAGACTCAATCTATAACTTCTCTTAGACTGCCTTATTTAATATCATTAATACCTGTGATTTGTCCTAAAATACAGAGCAAATTCGGAATATAGAAAATTTTCCCAAAAACTTAAAAAACGAGCTAACCTATTTTTGCTGCAAAGGTCATCATTTATATTCCTATACCGCTATTCATATATCCAATTCGTCATATTATCGCCATAAAAATTAATGATGGTTTTAACTTTTTAAACACTATATTAGACATTGCAGTATTTCACTGTAAAAACCTTACTTTAATACA